GACTCTTCTGAAGAAGGGTCTAGGCCCGAAACGTCAGCCTTCCTGCTTGTCTGATGCTGCTTGGCCTGCTGTGTTCATCCAGCTCTACACCTTGTTATCTCAGACTCTCCAGCATCTGCAGTTCCTACTATCATGAATTAATGCTGTGTTAACATTTAACAGCGTGTTGCTTTGAACATAAGAACTAGGAGCAGGTGTAGGCCATCTGGCCCCTCGAGCCTGCCCTGCCATTTAATAAGATCATGGCTGATCTTTTTGAGACTCAGCTCCACTTACCCGCCCACTCACCATAACACTTGCCATGACACTTGCACATATCTGTGATTAAAATAATATTTAAAAATTAAATTTGTTGTATTCTCATCAGACAAAATAGTGATGCAGGCTGTCCTAATGAATCGTTGCTTTTTTCCCCAAATACCGATTAGCTGTAGTAGTGCATGCAGTATGAAAATGACGAGAATATAGTTTTCAAGAGACAATAGACAATTGCAGGCCCCTACTTAACATTTAGAAATTCCTTTCCTCAAAAGACAGTGGATGCAGATTATATAACTATTTTTAAGGCACAGATAGATTCTTGATTACCAAAGCACTGAAGGATTGTCAGGTAAATATAAAGTCAACATAGTCCCAGAGGATATAGCATTGTGTTCTCATTTGAGAGAGATAATTGGTGGTGAGTTCAGGCGAGGGTGTGGGTTGGTTAGATCAGTTGGCTAGACAGCTGGATTGCAATACAGAGTGATGGCAACAGCGTGGGTTTAATTCCCACACCGGCTGAGGTTAGTGTGAAGGTCCTGCCTTCTGAACCCTGCAAGAATGTAGATAAGAACAGCCATGATCATATTGAATGGCAGATCAGGCTTGAAGGGTTCAGTGGCCTCCTTGTACATATATTCATGTTTAGTTTGGTAGCATCAGTGGAGAAAAATTAGAGTTAATGTTTCAGGTCCAGGATCTGATGGAAAGTCACTGAACCTGTAACGTTAACTCTGATTTCACTCCACATATGCTGCCAAATCTGAGTTTTTTTTCAACAATTTCTGTTTTTATTTCTGATTTCCAGTATCTGCACTTCTTTTGGTTGTTTTCTGTTCATATTTAATCCTTTCCCCATTGTACAGTGTTCGATAATTTGTTCAATTTTAATGCTGTTTTTGAATCATTCAATAATTGAGTTATTTAGCAGGGCAAGTAATATAGTGAGAATCTGATTCTTAAAAGATTACATTTGTTTGCATTTTAAATCAAATTTGAGTTCAGGAGGACTGTGTTATGTAATTCACGATAGGAAATGTGCTATTTTTCAGAAAGCGGCTTACCTTTTGCAGAATATAAACAAAAACCTTGGCACAAGAGTAAATATTCCTTTCACACATAATGCCCAGTAATTAACTTAGCTAGGTATATCATTGACACTGGAACTGTATAATGTGTTTCATATTTGAATGTTGATAAACAAGCTATTCTGAAAGTACTGTCTTACTTTGGCTGCGTAGTTGACGGTTTTTAACAGTCTTGAAGCTGAGGTGAATACTCAAAACCTTGTTGCTTTCTGGACCCTTGTCAATTAGAGTGTTGGAAGATTTTTCACACATTCCTTTGCAGCCCCCCGTAACTTTGTTCTCTAATATGTTGAGCAGCGTGAGTGTGATACTTTTCCTCAAAGCAGTCATGACAGTAAGATAGTAAATGCATTTTTCATTTATTAGTTTAATATGGTTGTCATAATGCATGCTTCTACTCCAGAAAGCAACAGAGGACTTTAAGGAAGATTGATAAACCTGAGCATTAACTATCTGATTAAGTACCGGTGACCTTGTTTATAATAGGGCTCTATGTTCTTGCAATAGGGGCACTGCAGTGAAAATTTACCAGACTGATTCATGGCTTGGTGGAACTGGCGTATGAGGAAAGGTTGAATAATTTAGGATTGCATTTGTTGGATTTCAGGAGAATGGGCAGCGATTTCATAAGTCTATAAAATTCTAACAGGGCTAGACAGGGTAGATGCAGGAAGGATGTTCCCAATAGCAGCGTCACAATCTAAGGATACGCAGCAAGCCATTTAGGACTCATGAGAAATTTCTTCACCCAGAGTTTGGTGAGCTTGTGGAATTTGCTATCACAGAAATCGGTCAACACCAAATGATTTGTATGATTTCAAGAAGGAATTGGATATAGCACTTCGGTCTAAAGGGTTCAAAGGATACGAGAAAAGTGGGAACAGGCTATTAAGTTGGTTGATCAGGCATAATCATAATGAATGGTGGTGCAGGCTCAAAGAGCCAAATAGCCTACTCCTCTTTTCTATGTTTGCAAGTTCGATGTAAAGTGACCCATATATAGCATTCCATTATTTTATTCAGCTTTAAAGGCTTTAATTACAAATTATCCTAAATCTCAATGATTTTAATTGCCTGGATTTTCTTTCAATATTTGCGTTTTTAGTTTTTGGAGGGAGCCACAATTGAAGTAGATCAAATCCACACTCACATGCGGCCACTCCTGATGATGTTGGGTGATTATCGCAGCCTGACTTTAAATGTTGTGAATCGCTTGACCTCTGTTACAAGACTTTTTCCAAACTCCTTTAACGATAAATTTTGTGATCAAATGATGGTAAGTGTACAGGTAACTTTATCTGTAGTAATATTTGTACGTTGTAGAGATTTAAACCAATGTGGAATGTGTGTTATTCACAATCATCCTGAAAGTGAGTGAGATTTTGTCACTCTTTGGCCTTTTTTTTGCCCTACTTTCGTAAGGATGTTAACTTGTGCTAGAATAGCAATGACTTTTAAGACCTTAAATGAAAATGGAGTGAGCCAACCTATGCTGGAAACTGAAGCACTCTCCAGATTCTTGGCAATTTTATATCAATCTCCATTCTCTTAATCTAGTTAAATCTGGAAATGGAAAGCTTTCAGTAGCGCTGTTCACCATTATTGAATCATTCCCCTAGTAAATAGGGGCACCTATAGGGAGATCATGGAATAGGAACAGGCAATTTAGCCACTTGAACCACACACCCCACCTTTTCAAGAAATCATTGCTATATATACATTTCAACTCCATTCACTTGAATTTTATTTCCATTTTATATTCTTGTCTAGCAAAAAATCTATTGATCTCATTTTTTTAAGCTAATTATGCTTGCATCTACTTTTTGTAGGAGAGAGTTCGACTCTTCCACCCCCTTGAGGTTAACAAATGTGTCCTAACTTCTGATTTTAAGGTTATGTTCCTTTGTCTTTGGTTCACGCAGCAGGGAAAAAGTGTTTCTGCCTTTTATGGTTTTTTTTCTCCAAAATACTATAAACCTAAATTAAATCATCACCCCATCTTTTTGATCCCAGGGAATGAAAGGCTAGTTTATATGACCTCTACTTATTATCTAAATTCAGGAGTTCTAAGAGCATTCTAATAAATTTGTCCCAGTGGCCCTTCCTGGGTCAGTATAGTTTTTCTTAGCTACACTTAGCTGCTGATTGGGTCTGACTGGAGCTTTGTATGTCTTTACCAAAATTCCTACTACCCAGGCTTCATAAAGACTAACATTGATTACACCATGTTTCTTCTCTCTATGTACCCTGACCCCTAAATTTTATTGATCTCTGTAGACGGACCTCTAAATCTATTTGGAGTTCCAGCATTAGGAGCTTTTTGGCTTTTAAATAATATTTGGATCTGGTAAGAATTCTAGTTTTAAGAATTTTAAGAACATGAGTCTTGTGCCTCATCTTTAGAATACAGAATTTGTCAGTACATCGGTTTAAAAAATCTGGGAGTCATCTTTACCGTTCAGAACTGTTTAAGTATCTTCCGAGGGAAAAGAATTGAGTTTCCATGTGAAAGATTTGGGACGTTTAGCTATTTTAAATAGTGGTCTTTTAACCAGAATATAATCATGTTAATTTTGGCAGGGTTGTGGGAAAAGCACTAAGTGAAAATGTGGGTTATAGTTATTTGTCTATGAGCACCTTTAACAGAATAAGGTATTCCATGGTGCTTGACAAGAACATGACAAAGCAAGGTTTAAATTGAACCACGTATGGAGATGTTTTGCCAGATAACTAAAAGAGGTACTTTGTTTTCCCCAAGAACTTCAACAATATGAAATGCACAAGCCGTCACCAAATGGGGAAGTCCCTGGCCTAACACACACTTTAGGGGTGTCTGTCAGCCTATCCCTTATGGTTGTCAACATGGGGATAAAAGCTGATAGTGAGAGACTTAAAACAAAAAAAAACCTCCTGTGAGCATTTGTCAAATTCTGAAGACCATACGGATATAGAATATATGTAGAAAATAACATTGTATTCTTGACTTCAACAAACTAATGATGGATGGATAAAACACTGTTGGGACCGGGCAACTTGGTCTGCCCAGAAAATTACGATAAGGCTTGCATTTCCTATTCCACCATAAAAACAAATATATGATTGCCTGGGAGACATGAGAAATCAGAATAAAAACCCAGACTAGTTTTGGGAGAAAATAGGACTTTGATGTGAGGAAACTTGGTGTGCTTAGTATTTTTTAATATGAAAGCAAGTTTAATGAATTAAACTGCGTGAATCATTATTATTGCCAACTGTGCTCACTGATATTGAAAAATGAAGCTTAATGATTTATGTGTAACCTCACAATGTTTCTTGATTCTCCACTGAAATGTTTGCAGTAGCACTTTGATATCCGGTAGATTGCAAGCAGAGGAGGTGCTATTGTTACATCCCTGAGTTGTGCTATTGGCATTGTGAATTGACTGTGGCACAGAAAGGGTATGCATTTGAATCGCAGAAGTGACTGACAGCAGTGAATATGAGAAGGGGTTTGGAAGCGAACTGAATGTGAAATGGGCATTGAGATGTGGAATGAATTCAGGATGGGCTACAATGGATGGGATAAGGGTCATCCTCAGTCAAGTGTGAATCAATTTCTGATTTAAACTGAATCTCTCTCTCAAATTTACTCAGTCAGACTGTGCTTAAAATAAAATTCTGATAACATCTCTTCTGAATCAACACCTTTTGATCTGTTGAAAGCTTTCTTCCCCAGAAACGTCATAGCTATAACTTCTTTATCCTATCAGCATTCAAGGTAGTGCTCTGTCAGGCACTGATAGTAATTTGTTAGTTTTGTTTGGGTTCTGTTTGGACTTGGAGCTGGATTAGTTGTATATCTCTAGTTAGGTTTGGACTGTTTAACATCTATTGCCGTGGCTGAAACTTGCAGGCTTAGCACAAATAGGTCAGTAAACCTGGGATCCTCTGTTCTGGTTGACTATGCTACTCCACTCCCCAACCCACTGAGTTTCCAGGGGAGCCAAAAGTTGGAGTGAATGTTTCTTGATTTGTACACCTCTAGTCTTGACGATTCCGTTTTACTCTTGGCCAATTCCCCACATTATATTTTCTATTAATTTAAGTTAATCCTAAACTCTACTGCCTGTGTCCCAACTTTCTCCAAACTCATTCAACCACAATCACCTCACATCCTGCAAACCTGCAATACCTTCATTCTAAAGTTCTTAGCCTTCTGAAATCCATTTAGACTTCCCCATTATTTCTGTAACCTACTCCAGCCCTGCTTTTTGGATCACTACAGTCCTCCAGGTTTAGTCTGTGGCATATCCCCAATTTCATATTTTTCCACTATTGGTGACTGTTCCTTCAGTTACCAAGTTCTATGCTCTAAGCTCTGTTTCCTTCTTCGACACTCCCCTTAAAACCACCATTAAGTTTTTGGCCATTTTCTCCTATCATTACTGTGACTCCATGTTGAATGTTTTTCTGCAGTGCTCCTGGGAAATATCTTGGCACTTTTTGCTATGTTAAAGGCACAGTATGTCTCAAGTGGAGCATTAACATAGGCAGGGACTAGTTTGGCCAAATGGCTTGCCTCATTTCAGTGAAGGAAAATGTAAAGTCGCCATAGTCCCATAGGGCTGCTCTCACATTAGACAGACATGACTGGTGGTTTAACCTGAAAGTCACCACGCCTCGGACACTGTCGGCATCACTGTGCATTGCAAACTAGTGATCCAACCAAATGAGCTAACCAAACTCCCAATACGATATCTGCCAGTAACTTGGCATTAACGGTTATTGAGCAATGTTCACTGACAGCTTAAAATAATTATTAAATTATTATTGAATAATACTCACCAGTAACCTAGGTTTAATACAGTTTAATGCAGTATATTCTATGGATAAATGCTTTGCTTTACAAAAGATGGATGTTCTGTGCTGTATGACTATGCATCAGAGTGTCTGGTTGCTAAGTTTTACAAACCAGAATGTCCTGGCACAGGTTGCAGTAAACTTTTTACAAAGGTAAACAGTGGAAGGTCTGAGAGTCAGATATTGGTGCTAACCAGAGATCTATATATATTTATTTTGAATGCTTTTCTTGATTTGTTTTTCAGGCTACTTTTTGAATTTTTGGGGTCTCCTTTTTCATTGTCACTAATTTCTTTATTATATGGTACAGTCAAGTTACAACATTATCTTCTGTAATTGTGTTGTCTCATACTGAGGCACTCTCAGAAGCAGAATTAGAAGAATTAATCAACATCCTCAAAAATCATCAACTCTTTATTAAACTTAAAGCTGCAACATATGCTTCAATTTCTTAGACACTACAGTATTTAAATTGGTAGAAGATGACAGCAATAAGTTAGCAACACAACTTTTTGAAAATAACTTAGCACACCATTATCTGAAAAATTCCTTCCACGGACTAGTAATAGCTAATGTGTTTCCGTTGGATATGCATAAATTGGAAGATTTTTTAACTAGGCAGATCTGCACTTCAGATCTCAATATCAGGTTTAAATTTAACTGTTGAAATTTTATTACAATAGCAGCCACTATATTTTGCCCCTTTATGTTAGTAATTAGCAAATTAACTCAATGAAGTTAGTCAAAAGTGTGTAGTGTTCTGATGTGTATTCTACCTTGAGGCCACTGTTACTTATAAACTGGAGTTATGTTTAGCATTGCATTAAATAGCTTTAGCTGAAGTTGCCCCAGAATTATGTGGAAATGTTACCTACATTAGTTGTATTAAGCATTCTTAGATACAACTTGAAGAGTTTGGTAAATTGCATGGCATTTTTTCTTTTATTATTGAGTGAGAGTGTGAGGGAAAACTAGATAGTGCTGGAACGATCATACTTACTGCCTGTTCCCAAAGGGCCCACCACAAAAACATGACTGGTTTTGCAACTGAATGGCTTGCTTAATCAGTTTAGAGTTGACCCTTTAGGAAGTGATTCAAGTTATATTTAGGGTACAAGGTTTATGGCTGGTTGAATATCAAATTAACACACCACTTGTTTTTTGACCATTTGATTCTGGGTTCTGAATAACCGGATTTATTTAGTAGCACATGTCAAAAAGTGGCTGAGCAAAACTAAGTGAAAGACTTTCACTTTTAAAACACTTCAGTCTCGTGACTTCCATGGTGGGATTGGAACTCGTGTACTTGAAATTACTGGACAGCAATGCTAATTCATCCATATCTAAGCAGTGTAAAGATAAATATATTTGAGTTTGCTACTACAAGTGAAATAAATGAAAAAATTTTATTGTTTTGATTTTTCAATCCAGTAATTAATCAGAGGTAGGGTCCCATTTAGAGTCATAAATAGCAATTTAATCTCTAAGTTCCACATTCACTCTTGTGAAATAAATGAGCTAATGAAATAAAACAGTGTGAGAGTAATTTAATGATAACATTTTTCTTTCTGGCCTTAGCAACATTTACGTAAATGGATGGAGGTAGTAGTCCTTACACATAAAGGAGGACAGAGGAGTGATGGCAATGTAAGTTCTAAAATCTGGTTTATTGTTGAATAAATTTAATGCAACATTTTGTTTAGGCAAGGCTTTCTGAAATAATGCTGAATGTGACCTGTTGTGATTAATTAGCAATCTACTCCTATGAGTCCATTATAATGAAGCCTGTGGAGTTGATGGTTTGCTTTTAATCACACTTTTTTTCAAGGTTATATGTTCTAAGTGATTATAATTTGTAGAAACTTTGTACTTAATTGTTTCAAGAATGTCTAATTAAATTCCATCATTTTGACTAATTTTAAGCTCTTCCACTTTTGTGAACAATTAACTTGGAAAAAATTGCAATTCATCAGTTCCTGAAGAACCATTAGGCAAGTTTCCATTCTGAATAATTATGTCTCAACAGTAATGTTTCAAAACATAACAGGAAATCTTTGGTGATAGCAAAAACTTAAGTTTTAGATATTTGTTTTTTTTTCTCCTCTGCCATCCCTTAATCCTCCTTGTGAGGTTGTTTGTTGTAAATGCATAAAATCTATAACTAAACTGAATTTTTCACTTTTTTTTTCTTTTGTGGAAATGCATGTTACTGGTAAGGCCAGCATTTGTTGTGAATCTCTGATTATTCTTGAATTGAGCAGCTTACTATGTCACAACATTACTAATGGATCACATGGAGGTCAGACCAACTAAAGATGAAAAACTTCCTTCTTTCACCGACATTAATAAACCAGATGGATTTTTATGGCAATCAATGATAGTCTCAGTAATGGTGACCGTGAAACTAACTCAATATTTTAAGTTCATTAATCAAATTTAAATTCCATTAACTACCATAATGGGGTTTGAGCCCATATCTCCAGATTTTTAGTCTAGCTTCAGATTTACTAGTACTGAGACTATACCACTGTGCCACCATATCTCCAATGATGAATGCTGTCTTCAATATACTGCAGCAGTTTAAATAAAAGCAATGTTTTAATTTGACATGCACCATGTTTATAGCTGTCACTCGGTGACTGGCACTCCTGCCTCTTGAGTCATATGATTGTGGCTTCAAGTCCCATTGCAGAGACTTGTTTTTAAAAAAAGCATCCAGGTTGATATTCCTGTGCCAGTTTGGAGGGAATGGTACACTGTCAGAGGTTCTGTTTTTCCTGTTAAACCGAACCCCTGCCCATGTACTCAGTGGATGTAAAACATTCACTGGCATTGTTCTCAAAAAGAGCAGGTATCTTCTGGCCAATATTCATTCCTCCAATCAATACTGTCAAAACTAACATTTTGTGCAAATTGGCAGTACCTATATTTCAAAAATAGTTTATTGACTTGAAAACTGTTTTCAAACACTCTGAAAGGTGCTATAAAATGCAGGTATTTCTCTTCTCCATTTCTGCGTCTTATCCGTTCGGGGAAACATCGGTGTGGGAAATTTAATACCCTACTTCCTGCTCGTCAACTTTCATTTGTAGAATTCATGTTGTGTTGATTCCTCTTGTAAAAATTCTCCCTAGTGCATTAAATTTTAGTGACCTGCCACTTCCCATCCTCCCTTGCCTTCAAGAGCTAAAGAAATAATGATTGCAAAGCTATTAAAATCTTTGTGCAGATATATTTCACAATAACATACATTCTTCAAAGCACTCAGTTATTCACATTAAAATTGATGGGCTCTGATGTCATCTTGATTTCCTTGTGTTATCAGACAGATTAAACCCAAATTTTGAAGTATGAAAGCCAATGTATTACTTTTCATGGAAGGAAGTACCATTGACCTTAACACTGTTTTTACTAACATTTTATTTGTGTTATATTAGCATTTTTCCTTTGTCTTTAGATTGATTTTCGCAATGTATTTTAGCTATAATAATTTTTGTGGATTCTTAAAGAAGGCCATTAGTCCCACTGTGCCTGTGCTGGCTGTTGAAAGAGTTACCCAAATGGCCTCAGTCCTTTTTTCTTTCTGTAATACCTTGGGTATGGCAGCTGAACCTATGTAAGACAGCTCAAGTGAGCCTATCGCCTTTAAAGTCCAGTCATTCAAACTAATGACACCATTTGAGACCCATCTCCATTAGTATGCAACAAACTCTGTGAGCACTTTCCAACTATGGTGAAATGATGTTTTGATGAATGTCTAGGGATTACGTTGATTTATACATTCATATATTCGCTAGGTTGCACTGTTACAAGTAGCACTTATTGCCTGTCCTATTCCTTTTTGTCATGATTCTTGTTTTGGTTTAGCCTGCCTTGGAGGGGGTGGAGGTGAGAATTCTGGTAAAGGCTGTGAGTGCAGCAGGAAATTATCCAGTGGTGTTGTGACGTCTTCTTTGTCTTGTATTGAACTGTTGTAGTAGTGCGTTCGTTCGCATTGTGCATTTTGTTCGAAGTTGCAATGCTGTAGAAACCTCTGGTGGTTGTCTTATTTGTGACCTTGTGGAGTTGAATCTAATGTGTTTAAAAAGTCAAGCGCATGTGAAGGATTTTTTTTATTTTAGGGATGGTGTTCAGAGATTTGATGAAATTATCTGTGGGGATCTTTATTTAGTATAAATGTATTTCCTTGTACTTCTTTCCCTCAAATGTTACCACTTGCATATATTGCATGTCTCTCAATCAACATTTCTTGGGAGGACCGTACAGCCACGTAAAAGTGCTTTGTGATCTAATCCATTACACAAGAAAACAAATCCTTCTACTGGCCTTTGGCACTGTGACGTGTTTGAAAAAAACTAGTTC